GCAATAGAAATACATGAGCATTTACTACAAATGATTCCTGTGGTTTACATCCTAGCTACCTGGGTGGCTAATGTCAAGAGGATCAAAGTTCCAGTGCTGCCCAGGAAGAAACGTCCATGAGACTGCATCTTCATGCAAGGAAGCAGTATGTGGTGGAGCATGTCTGTGATCTCAGCAACTAGGTGAACTCTAAAGTAAGCAGATCACCCAGGTGTGTGCCAAGACCTTAACCTAAAAATAACCAGCAAAATCAAGGCTGGATGAATAGCTGATCAGAACAGTGTCATTCTAGCAAGTTTGAAGCCCCAAGTTTTAACCTCATTACTACCAAAATAAAAATTTCAAGTAAGGGAGAGTATTATAACAGCATAGTACCTTGATTTTTAAGAACAGTGAAATTGCTATTCTAAGCAATCATTCCAAAATAGTGAATATTGTCCAGACAATTTGACAAAGAGTGATGCCCATTATATATTTGGCATGAAAGAAAACTAGAATTACATATTTTTACATGGGAAATTACATAATTGTGGTGCTTGTGAAGTTTGTAAAAAGTACATCAAGTATATAATGGAACAATATCTCTGAATGAGTAAATGTGGTCATACTTGTTGCTAAGCATGTAGAAAAAATACCTAGTGGAACATCCCATAAATGTTGAATGCTGGTTACTTTGAATCTGAGAAAAAGAAAGGATGGTAGAGAGAGGTATGAGGCCTCTTTTGTAGGTCTGTAAAGACTATTATGACATTTAGTTCTCTGAGTCTTAGGCTTCTATTAACTTTAAAATCAAACAGTTTAAAAATAGTTTACAGTACACTTCGGATATTTAATGATGCTAAAGTGCTTATTTTTGTCATTCAATCTACCTTAGCTGGCAGAGATGCAAAAAGTAAGATATCCTCAAGGAAGTGTCCACTGTACAATAGTTCACTTTGGGATGTCACTAACCCCCCAAGGTATTGAGAATTAATTTTCTCCAAATTGTCCTCTGAGTCCACTTAGGAAAGTGAAGTTTGGCCAAAGGGAAAACAGGTTAATTGTATCCACTGATGGGTACACTTTGGCGTTTAGCTCTCCATGTTACTTGGCTTTCCAGAAACTTAGATCATGACATCATTACATCTCCTGAATTGTTCTCAGTTTGCAGGCCTCCTTCCTCCAACCTAATCTTTCCCAGGTTGAAACAGAAACCAGAGAAGGTAAATTATTATCTTTTTAACTTTCTCTTATTCAGAGAGCTTTGAAAGGTTTCATCTTCCAGACAGTTTTCCTGGCAATTTACTTCCAGAATCAAGTTGTTGACACTGTGTTTTAATTTTTAAAATATTTTTTTTATTGTGACAGTACTGTACAGAGGAGGAGTTACATTTACATGAGCAAGGTAATGAGTACATATTTTATCAATCATTGTTGCCTCCTCCTTTCCCCCCCCCCTATCATCCCTTCTCTCCCACCTCCACAAATGCACTCCCCACCCCCCACCCCCACCTAAATCGTAAAGTTCATTTTTCTACACTGTGTTTTAAACTGCAGCTCACTCAGAGGATTTTTTCATTTTATATGGAAAAGATAAAAGATATTAAAAGGTGAGGTAAGTCATTTTCAGACTGCAAAGGAAATGTGATTTCTCTCCTATATGGAAGCTAAATCTAAAATACATTGGGACAGGAAAAGTTATATAGGACTCTAGGTTTTCACACACAGTAAGAGCAAAGGAAGACATTCTTAGGATAGAAACGCAAAGTCCAATGTCTAAGTGTCTTATCATATAAAATAACAGTTATATTTATAAATATTTATATGTAATATTTTGTAAAATGAACCCCAGGAAACAGAAACAAGAGGTTTTGTTTTTGTTGCTGTTTTGTTTTCTTTCCTTTGTCTTATTTGTTCAATTATCTGTCTTAGGAAGGGTAAGGGGGCACCAAAATGGATTTGGACAAAGGGTAAACAAATGCAGCAGTGGTACTCACTAGATACTATGTGGAAAATGAACTATAAAACTTGTGGATGGAGATGGGAGGGAATAACTGGGAGAGAATGAGGGAAGGGGCAAAATTGTCCAAAAAGAAAGGTACTTTCTTTCTGATTTATGTAACCGTAACCCCTCTGTACATCACTTTTATAATAACTATAAAAAATTTAGGATATAGAAGGAAAGCTATTTTTACTTCAAATTGAGGTTGCTAGAAATCATACATTTAATTCAGCCTGTATTTATGACAAGGTTTCTTGCAATAGAGGTAAGAGTGAACTGAGCTACAAAGAGAAATCACCTGGGGTTCATTTTAAATGTATTTTAGATAAAGATATGTTTAGGATTACAGTTTGGATTTAATATCAAACATATCAAAATGTTTTTCATATTTGTCATGATGCATTTTGGGGGGGATCCGGTCATGGAGTCTGAACTCTGGGCCTGGGCGCTGTCCCTCAGCTCTTCAGCTCAAGGCTAGCACTCTACTACTTGAGCCACAGCGCCACTTCTGGCTTTTTTCGTTTTGCTTATGTGGTGCTGAGGAATTGAACCCAGGGCCTCATTGTCATGATGCATTTTATCTCCCATTGTCAAATTCATTTCTTTGGAATAAATTGTAAAGACCCTCATATTATCACATTAACCTATTTATAACTATTTGAATATGTTTATACATTTGAATACATTTCAGCCATTGTTCACATCAGAGTAACTCCCCTGCCTTTGATTGCCATTTTAATGGTATAGGAGTGACAAAGCTAAGTATATTCCTTAAAAATGATACAAATAGTTAGAAAAATAAAAGAGAAATAGAGAAAAATGTCCAGTACTGGCTTTGATACTTAGATCATTTGCTGCTCTACTAGAAGGGCAGGAGCTCATGAGTATTGTTGTATTATTTTCTTCCATGTCATAAGAAAGAAGTAATACAACAAATATAATTGATACATAATATCAGAGACAAAATGTTTATTGCTATCATTGAAGAGACAAGTGGGCAAATATGAGTCATCAGTTATGTTTCAAGTCATAGTTTCTAAAAAGGAATTATATGGAAATTTTTATATGCTTTTATTAGTCCTAGTAAGTGCAGCAAGACTATATTTTAGAATCAAAACAAGTCCCCTTGCATTCCCTTCTGTACTCAGGAAAACTTAAGTATTCTCAAATACTTAGATACTCTAAAATAATCCAAAGACAAAAGGCTATTCTTAATTAAAATAGTAAAATAATCCAAAGAGAAAATACCTATGCTTAATTAAAATAGCTAACTAATGTTATAAAAACATCATTCTATTGTAGAACTGTATCATTTAGCTCTAGGTCTGGACACTTTTCTCCCATATATTCAGGATTTTACCCTTGTTTACAACTCAAAGAATTCTATTCTCTTATTTATATGATTTCAGACAACAGTCATTGAACAGCCCTACCATATAAATTAAGAGTGAAAATTGTCTCACCAAACCACCATGGCTCACTTCTGTAATACTAGCTACTTGGGAAAGAGCTCAAGTATTCAAGTCCAAGGCCATTACATACAGAAAAGCTCTTCAGAACACTATAGATAGACTCAAGTTGGAGAGCAACATCCTGAATTCAAACTCCAGTATGTACACACACACACACACACACACACACACACACAAATTGGGAGAGACGGGGAAGAATTGATGAAAAGGGTAAAATTGATCAAAACACATGGTATTCATAAAATGACTTGTTGAATTAAAAACCCCTTTATACAACTACTGCTTAAGGAGTATACAAATAAATAAATACATGCTTAGCTTCCTCTTTAAAAATAAAACCAAAATGAAAACTAGAGTAAATCCTATTAAGCTTAGTAATTGTGATTGGGTCATCTATTACCACCAGTGAAGTTTCTAAATAGGTAAATTAAAATGTAGATAGTCCTGAAAGCATAATTTTGGAAACTAGGAAGTAAGTTCTCAGATTATGAATATATTGTTATAGCAATCTGTTATTAGAAGGAATATTGCACATATGGAAAATGTGATTACAGAAAAAGGTATTACTTTAAATCACCCATGAGAGAACTCAACCACACTCACAGTTGTGTGCACACACTTCCTTTTCCACACAGGATGTGCATAGGATTTCTATTTTCATCAGAAAGAACACAAGTTGTAAAATCTCTAATAGAGAAAAAGGCCCATGTCTTCATTTCATTGTCATACTAACAATATTTAAAAGTCAGATTCCTTTAAATGAATCTTTTCTTAATTTTCTTTTCACCAATAGGTTTTGTTGGGAGAAACATGTTAGCATGAGAAACCACACTACGATCACAGAGTTTGTACTCTTGGGCATATCAGATGATCCAAAGCTGCAGGTTGTCATTTTCATT